CACAGATGAAGAGGGTACCAGCAAACTGGAAGATAGCACTAAAGAAATGACCTAAAATGAGGCACAAAGAGACATATATGTATAAGAGAGTTAAACATATAAAGAACAGGATAAAGTGGTTTAATATGTGTCTAACAGGTACTCTGGGAAAAGCAAAAAACAAAAACAAAAACAGAGAAGAGACAAAAGTCAAAGAGATAATAATATACAGTTTTTCACTCTTTATGAAAATGATAAATCCTCAGGTTTAGGAAACACAATGAATCCCAAGCAGGAGATATAAAGCAAAACACACATAAACACATCATATTGAAGCTTCAGTATACCAAAAGCAAAAGACATATTGAAATCACCCAGTGAGAAAATATAGATTAACTTTAAAAAGAAGCAACAATTAGATGATTTCTTAAAAGTTGAAGCCAGAATATGGGAGAATAATGACTTCAAAGTTATGAGATAAAAGAACCATCAATATATAATTTAATATCCAACTGAAGTATTATTCAAAAATGAGAGCAAAATAAAAACATTTTCAGGAAAACAAACACCAAACTGAGAGTTACAACCAAGTAGTGCCCACTGAAAGGATTTCTAAAAGGTATACTTTAGTGTGAAGGAGAACGAACCAAAATTAAACACTGGGATACAAGAGGAAAGTGAACAAAGAAATTGACATTCATGTTAATAAATCTAAACAAACATTGCTTATGTGAACCAATTTGAAAAAGGTGGTAAGAAAGTAAGATGGAACGCAAATACTGGTAACAACAGTATGGAAATCAGGAAAGTTAGTGGAGTTTAAGTGTTTCAAGGTCATTTTGGAAAAAGAGTAGAAAGACTAACTTCAAACTTTAAGTCAAAAATGAGTAATTAAAAAGAATAAAAATAAGGTATATCACTTCTAAAAGAATAAAAATATATAACTACTAAAGTATATAAGGAGAAAAACAAATTAACTTGAATTTTAAAGAGTCAGGAAAGAAGTGGGGAGGGTAGAAAACAAGTATAGAAAAGGCAGGATAAGAGAAAGACTAAGATAGGTGTTCAAATAAACTCAATAAATCAGTTATAAAGATATAAATGGACTAAACTCACTAGCTAAAAGAAAAAGGACTCACATTAGATTAAAAACAAATAAATCCAGATGCATGCAATATAAGAGAAACACTTAATAAAAATACAAAATGGTTGGGGTGCCTCAGTGGCTCAGTTGTTTGAGCATCAGACTCCTGGTTTTGGCTCAAGTTGTGATCTCAGGGTCGTGAAATCCAGCCACAGGTCAGGCTCCACACACAGTGGGGAGTCTGCTTGAGATTCTGTCTCTCCCTCTGCAACCCCACCCGCACTCTCTCTCTCAAATAGTCTTTTTTAAAAAAATGTTTGATAGCAAAAAAGGTAAAAAAGATAAGCCAAGCAAATATTAACTAAAAGGAAGGTAGTACAGTTATATTAAGAGCAGACAAAATAAATTTTAAGGCAAAGAGCACTGTTAGGATTAAAGAGGGTTGCCACAAAATTATATATATATATCTATCTTCAGGAAGATAAAGCAATTCTAAACTTGCAAGAATCTAATAACATAGACTGGCCTCAAAAAACATAAAGCAAATAACAATAATCAAGCTCATAATCACAAAGTGAGGTTTTTAATACCTCTCTGATGAAGTGAGATTCTTTATAGCTTTTATCTGTCTCCCTGCCAAAACCCCTCTCTGGAACATAATCTAAAATGTATCATCTTTTTTGTCTATTTTATTCACAAATGTATTTTAAGTATGTAGAGCAGGTCCTGGCACATATGGCTGCCTAATAGAAACTCACTGAGTGTTTGAATTAATTAATATGAAAAAAGATAATAACTATAGAGACTGAGTAGTACAATGAACCAGCATAATCCAATGGACTCTCATGGAACCCCACACTCCCAAATCAATACGGTCTTCTCAAGCACACATGGAATATTTATGAAAATTCACCATATCTAGACTGTATTCTTTGACCACAATACCATTAAGTTAGAAATCAACAACAATAAACCAATAAAAGTCCATGTACCAAAAAATGTAAAACATACTTCTAAATGACTCATAGAAGAAATCATAATGAGGATTATAGAAATAGAAGATGAAGAAAACAGAACTTAATGATAACAAAAAATATTATATTTCAAGACTACCTAGAGGGAAATCTATAAATTTATATGCATATATAAGAAAAAGAAAGGACAAAAATTGATGAGATACACATCTAAATTAAGAAGTTAGGAAAAAAGACCTACAAAATAAATAAAAAGAAAATACAAGGAAGAAAACATTGAAGAAAAGATCAGAGATTATTGAAATAGAAAAAAATATACACAAAAAAAGAATAAAAAAGTCAAAAGCTGTTTCTTTGAAAATAGATAAAAGTCTGGCAAGAATAATTATGTTAAAAAAGATAAGGTTTAATATTAGAAATAAAAAGGGGTCAAATTTCAGATACAGCAGGAATTTGAAAAAATAGAACATTAAGAAATACTTGATACTAATATACTTAAAAATGAATAGAATGGACAATTTCCTAGAAAAATATAATTTATCCAAAATGACCATGATAAAAATAGAAAACCTAACAAACCTATAATTATTAAATATTAAATCACTAGCTAAAAGTTTACTTAACAAAACTGCCCACCAGGGCCAGCTGATTTTATGGGTGAGTTGTACCAAATAATCAATTAACAGTTAATCCCTATCTTAAACAAAGTGTTCCAAAGAATAATAAGGACTTACTCCCACTTCAATTATAAAGCTAACAGAAATATATGAAAACCAGGCAGGGTCAGCACAAAAAAAGGACATTTATGGGCCAATAACCATAGATGCAAAAGTCTAAGCAAATTCTTAGCAAAAAAGCCAGGAATGCATGATAAATAATACTGTATAATGACTTAGTTTAATCCCAGGAGATCAGGATGGTTTAACACTAGAAGGTCTATTAATCTATTTCACTACATGAACAGATTAAAGAAGAAAATTATACAATTTCTGTAGGGACAGAAAAAGCACTTGATAAAATTCAACATTCACTCATGATTCAAACAGAAACAGAAACCTTAGCAACTAGGAACACAAGGGGTCTTCTTTACCTGATATCAGTTACCTATCAGAAAGTACTTAATTATAAAATTATGAAATAATTCTCCTTAAAATTAAAAACAAAATAAGGATGCCCAATTGTATTCAACATTGTACCGGAGGTCCTAACCAGTACAAAAATAACTGAAAATAATCAAGATTTCAGAGGAAAAGACAATGGCAAATATGCCTATAGATGGAACATCCTTGTACTCACAGAGGTCTCTGAGAAGTGCTTGAAGAGTTCACTACCTTCTAAGAACTCTAGGATTCCAGAATACCTACCTAGAATTTTAGAAGTCCAGAGTTATCTTATTTTGGTGTCTTTTGCTCTCTTAAACACCCACAGTTGTATTTCATCTAAAAAGATACTCTACCACTGTCTGATTTTTTAAATTTTGGACCAAGCCCCTTTATAACCTGAACTTTCCAGGTTGACCAAGAACTCAAATCGACTACTTATGTAGTAGTCACACTTCCAACTCTGCATCCAGGCAGGAAGGCTGAGCACATCTGTGAAGATTCCTTTGGGACCTCCCAATTACCCACTGCTTTGAGGAAAGTATGTAAACAGTACTAAGTTGGCCCTAGTATGAGGACACACTACTGCTCTCTCCAGGAAATCTTTTTATTCTTTATCATCACAGTGTTTTTTTCATAAGCTACTCTCAAACAATACTAAGTCTTTAAAAACTCCCATCTCAGTGTTCAGTAGGGGAATTACATTTAATTTTATTTCCCCTTGATTCTTTAAATGATTTGTTCTTGTGGTTTTTCTAAGTATTTCTGTATAATGAGTCACTCTGAGTGACTGACTGGGAATGTAGGAAGAAGCCTTCTTTTGCTATTTTAATTTACTGTGTGACTGACCCTGGGCCAGCCATTGAACCTAATCAAGGAACTTCATTCATTGCTAAGATAAAAGGCCAAAGAGATGGGTTAAAATTAGACCCTGCCACCTAATGATTCAGTCTCTTAATAACTGACTCACAGAAATTAATTAGCTTCTTCCTAGAACATTTCCATTTGGAAAAGGTCTCCGTGTTATCCTCACCACATTGTAACCCTCTGAGAGATCTCTACGCCATGTTCTATCACTTCAGTAAGTAACCATGGCACTCCATGATAATCAGCCCCAAATTAAGTTTGATGTTGTAGGTGAGGGGCAGGAAAACAAACAAACAACAGCAACAAAACAAGACAAGAAACACAAGTGGAAGGAAAAGGAAGGACTTAAACCCAGAAGTCCTAACTCAGTTTGAAGCTTTCCCATGTACTAATTTTAGGATCTGAAGAAAGTCCGTTAACCTCTCTGAGCTACAGTTCTAATTTATAAAATGGTCACCAAGCTACTCTATCTTTCAACCTCATGGGAAACTGATTAAAAAATGACTGAGTATAATGCTTTGAAAAACTGTGAAGTACTACATATTTGTATTGCATTAAGTGAATAATTCTATTCACCAATGCTAAAATGCCATCCTAATATACATAAGAAGGTCTTGGGTAATATCCATCCATGCTGGATAGAAACTATTAGAAATTATGACGGTAATTTGTAAGTATGTACATAATAAATTCAGGACAAGGAAGACTTTAAAATAATAAAATGTACTTTAAGAATGAAAGCAGCATGATTTGGGTGCCTGCTGAAAGAGCAGGGAATAATTAATAAATATTTGAAAATCCTTCTTACTCTAAGTTTTACTCTTTTGAACCCATAACCTTTGGTGAGAGCTAAACATACAAGCTAAATGAAAGGAAAACTATAGAGTTAACAAATTTCAAGTTGGGACCAAAGGAACTCTTGTAAATATGATCTCTAGATCACACAGAAATTCAAGTAAAAAATATCTGAAGACAGAAGCTGCTCCACTTTCTTACCTTTGTTCTGTATTAAAAAGTGCAAAGATGTGCTTGCTAGACATAAAGCTCTTTTCCACATCTCGAACTTTCAGGTTGTCCAAGGGGAGCATATACTTCTTTTCTTTTTCCTATTGAGAGAGAAAGAGAGGGAGAGAAATTGGCTTTAATAAAAGATCTTGAAGCCTGCCAATGGCAACACATCACCTGAGTTGGCCAACAACTGATTACAATATTTTGATACCATCACACACTATTTTAATACCAGCTATCAATAAATAAAAGCTATCTGAGAAAAGAGACTCCAGTGATTCTCAACACATGGGTCGGAAGGATGAGGGGAGGAAAAGTATGGAGGAAGGAAGGGCTCAGTGATAGAGAGAACACATGGTCCTCTATCCTTTCTTCCTCATGTGGGTCCCCTTAGATGCTTTAAAATGTTAGTTTGATATTAAGAATTTAGCCATCTGTTAATATTTAACAAAAATGTTCTGGTCCTAATTCAATGAGAAATGCCAGATGGATTTCATTTCATATTTTATTTGCAGCCCAAGCAGTTTTGATAGCCAGTGGTGGCAGGAGCCTGGAAGCACAGGACCCCGGTATGAAATACCCCCCTATAAGCCAGGAGAAAACACAGCAAAATACTTCCTTCATTTGGGTCTAGAAAAAAATGTGGGTCCAGAAAAAAGTGATTCCATTGTTGAGCTCTTTGAGAAAAAAAGAACCCATTAGAAGTGGACTGATACTAACTAGAATAAATTCTCTTTTAAAATTAACAATTCTTTAGGAAGAAAATGGAAATTGGGGAGGGAGGTCTGCAAATGGGACTAACCTGGTGTTAGTGAGACATACTAGATGCCAAAGAATTATTAGAAACATTTACTATTAGGGATTGGCCCAGGGACAATATTATCGTATGTACAAATGCCTAACAATCAGTCTAATAGGAGAGAATTAAACACTCAGCTTAAGAAACCTAGTCAATATCTATTACCAGGGGCATTTTAGCACAGTCCTTGTTCAACAGTACCTTGTGTATCCTTGTTCAACAGTACCCTATATCTCTGGTGCTGGTCCTGAGAAAAAGCAGGACCAGACTCCAGAGGAGGGAAATATGGATACTTAGCCATAACTTTTAATAAACTACTATAACTGTATTTCCTGTCAAAAAATGCATGCACTGTACAGACATGTTTGATATAAACCTTTTTGTTCCTATAGCCCCTACAGCACTAGGCTCAGTAGTGTGTGTGTGTGTGTGTGTGTGTGTGTGTGTGCGTGCGCGCACGCACACGCGCATGGGTGCATGCGTGCACACATGTGCACCCTAGCCAGTTTGTGGGGGCCATGTTGTCTGCAGACCCCACAGAGAGTTATTGCCCAGAGAATCACTGGCTTTGCCACTTCTTAGCCCCAAATTAATTACAGAAAAGTTGGGCAGAACACATCAGAATAAGGAGGCAGAGAGAAATAGAGGACTAAATCAGTTGAAGGAAGTTGGTTGGAGAACAAAATGGCTGTCCTGGCAGACAATGTCATCAAAGAAGCTCAAAAACATATAAAAGAAACTAAATGGGAGTGAGAGAAGCCTAAGAATAAACATGAAAAAGCACTGTAAGAAAATTCCAATATTTCTTGTGCAAAAATTAATAATATATTAGCAAACACAAGGATATTCTTAATAACAAAATACATAATTTAAGTTAATGAAGTATCATAGTTGAGTCTAACTTGTTTGAAACACTTGTCAGGCTATTTTAGGATAGAATTCTAAGAGGCAAGATCACAGATTGAATGAAAAGCTATCCAATACATAATCAAATGAAAATGCTTGAAATCCAGGGAACATTTTTTTATTGGATGTTTTTCAATGCCCTGAATTTAAGCAGCTGGATTTTTTTAATGCACCATCCTATTCAACCTTTTGAAATGATGGATTCGCCTTTTAGTGGGAAATCTGCATTTCATTGTAAAGATGGAACACAATGTCCTTGGCGTGTTTTCTATAGAAGTAGGCTCCCTTTCATACTGCGTTCTTTAGCATATAGTGAAGACCAAAAATCCAGCGAGTTTATGTCAGACATTAAATGCTGGAGAAATACACACATACGCAGACAGGGGAACATGAAAAATGTAGTTTCATTTCCAAAGTACTAACTGTCATTTACCCAAGGTTTTTGAGGACATATTGCTAAGTTATTTCATAATCAAGAGCTTTAAGACAGAGAAAGGGAGAAGAAAAAGAAGATTCAGACTGACTTGTTTAATTAAAGTTGTAAGTCAAGTGGAGAATTAAGAGACAGCAACGAAACAATCTTTCAGGGATATTTCTAAAATTCTTGGTGCTTTGGGGAAAGAATGATGTTCTGTTAAAAATGTTCATCTTGAATATGAAGTAGCTAAAATAAACAAAAGAATAGAGGAGGAGAAAGGATAAACAGAATTATAATTTCCAAAATACAGTGAATCTTAGCACCAGCTTAATTGAAACATTTGCTACATAATATTTGTTAGTTCTAGTAAACTGGCCAATAATACCCTGTCCAATATGGTAGTCACCAGCCACAGTCACTACTGAGCACTTGAAATGTAGCTAGTTAAATTGGGATGTGCTCTAAGTATTAAATACATACCAGATTTCAAAGACTTAGTGTGAGAAAAAGAATGTAAATGATCTCATCAATATTTTTGTATTGATTATATGTAAAAATGATAATATTTGGAATATATTAAGGCAAATAAAATATTACTAAATACAATTTCATCTGTTTATTTTTAGTGTTTTGAATATGGCTGTTAGATAATTTAAAGTGACATTCTGTGGCTCGCATTAACTTTGTATTGACAGAGTTGGGCCCCATATCCTCTCACCCATCCGATTTTTCTTCTTTACTTACTATTTATTTATTTATTTATTTACTTATTTACTTATTTATTTTTAAAGTAAGCTCTATGCCCAATGTGGGGCTTGAACTCATGGTCCCAAGATAAAAAGATCACATGGTCTACTGACTGAGCCAGCCAGGCACCCCTCCATCCATTTTTTTTTTTTCTCTTCTGACCTCCCTGTTTCTGCCATTAGGTGTATTTTGCATTCTCCCAGTCACCCAATCTGAAACGTCACTACCACTTCTAAGGTCTTGTTTTCCTTCACCCCCCTGAAGACTACGGTGCATTCTGTTGGAAGCATTAGTCAGAGCTCCTGTTGTCTAACATCCCCACCATGTTAGTCTGGGCCTCTGGCATCTCACAAGGCTATAAATGGCCTCCTATCTAATCTCTTTGCTTTCTAATTCCTTGAACATCACCAGGGAGGGGCTAATTTCTAAAACTACTCTGTCAAATCCATGACAGTCCTTCCAAATTTTCATAGCTCTCCATTATTTCTGGAAGAAAATCCATGAAATTCCTTAATGTGACATCAGTCACTTTCGTCACATGAAAGACCTACAAATTGGTCCAATCCTGATTGGTCAGTATATTTTACTCTTCCGTAAAAAGTCTCCATTTCAACCAAATACAACTTTGTCAACAGTCTTTTCCCAACTTGAGGTACCCTTTCAACTTCTCCCTACCACATGAGTTTATTACTTAGAGTCAAGTTCAAGTGTTACCTTCTGTGCTAAAAGTGTTCCCAAGTTTTATGACTGTCTCTTTGTCACTCTCCTCTCTCAACTCATATATGCTATTCATTTTGAATTATACACTATATGAGGCATCCTCATCTTATAAATGCATTACATTACAAAATTTGTATGAAGATTGTTCATTTGGAATTCAGAATGTTCAGTCAATTCTATTGTTCAAGTAGGTTACATTTGCAAAGAAAAATAAAAAGCAGAAAATGTTTTTGCAACATTTATAAATAAATAAGATATAATTTGATATTTTAAAGATCCTGTACTAAGACATTTTAGAGGAAGCAATTGTAAAATTTTAGAGGAAGGTTTATCTTTCATGGATATTCAGAAAGAAACTTCTGCATATTTTCAAAAGCTTTAGAAGCTGATGTCACTAATTCAACATCTTTTTTTTTTCATTTTTAAACATAGTACCTTTCTTTTCTTCAATAAAAAATGGTTACTAGCACTATTTGTATGGGAGGCATCCAGGGATTCTTTGTTCAAAGAGAAAGGGAACATAAGAGAGTTTGTGTTCTTTCCTTCCAGTAACTTGACAAGTATTAGAAGAGGAGAAATAAGATAGGCCCCCAAAAGGATGCATTAAATGTGTGAAAGGGTGTTGTCTGAAGTGGAAGTATCTGAACTGTGAGCGGCAAAAGGCAGCTGAATCAAGGTAGAGGGAGGTGGTAATTATATGATGGCTACAGGACGTGTTCATTGATCTTGTAAGGAAACAAAAGGATCAATGAATGACAGATGTGGGTTAAACAGGGGGCCAATGATGGTTTCTAGCTGGCAGGGCACCATCAATATAACTTGGTTGCAGGAAGGAGCTACAGTGGGTATGAGAGGAGGGTTGGGTGTGTAGAGGAATAGCTCCTGCTTATGCAAAGGATTGGAAAGTCTTTATACACCTGGTGATTTATATGTAGGGAGTTTCAAAACTTGGGGAATGTTTGAGTGGCCTTGGTTTGATGACTACCTTGTGTCTTATTTATACATACATTTTCTCACCAACAAGGCAACAAAATATTCAAGGTTGAGACAATGAATTCTTCATTTCTATATATTATAATGCCTAGCATAGCTTGGTCATTGAAATTTATATACCATATTATAAATATTTGTTGAATTAATTTGAAAATGTCTGATAAACAAAGCCAAATGTTGAGTAAGATATTTGATAGTCACATATATTTGAGAATCAAATAAAAATTCTGTAGGAAAGAAAAAAACCTCTAAAAGATGCTTAATGGATTGGCACTGCTTTTGATCATGAAATCTTTACAATGTTTAGGTTGACTGTCATGTGTATTTCTCTTTCTGCCTCTGTTTGTATGACTTCTACTTGCTAGGAATGTCTTCTTCCCTGCAAGAAGGCACATGCTAATGGCCTTGAAATTAAGGTCAAGTGCCACCTCCTCCAGGAAGCCTACTCTGATTACAGCATGTCATTTATGTCTTTTTTTCATTTTTCTATTTTTTTCAAAAGATATATATTTATT